AACATGAATTCTATGTTTCCTTGAAAGAAATATTATATTAACACTTTGAATAATTATTTAATGATGATTAATTTTCAACACAGTATATCAAGTCCACTTAATTTTAATGGTATTCTAACATCGCAAATAAACAAAATGTTGGTGACAGAAATGAGCTATTAGTGGCCAATCATTTCACTGAGGTAGATCTGCGTTCTTTGAGACACAATACCGTTATTTACACGGAAAATCAGAGACGAGCACGGACTGCCCCGAAGTAAGAAACTTTTTATTGTTTGCATCTCTTAGGTTAAGCGATGATTAATGGTCAATATCTGCGGCAGGTCTTCTTAAAATTGTCATTTTAATTTTTAAAACATGCCGAAATCATATTTCCTCTTTGATTACTTGGAAACAGACAAATCCCAGACTTTTGGAGATCGTGTGTGTAGGTTTAGTTTTACATGATGGCTTTAGAAGTCACCTATCCTTAAAACTTGTGAGAACATGACCCATATACCTATAGACAACCGCTACATATCAATGCTCCCACGCAAACATGGAAAACAAAATACCCAACGGGAAATTTAAAGTGCCTTACTTTTTCCAGTATATATATTTTTCATATGTAATTTCGAACAGAAACAGTAAATATTAATATCATTAATACAATCTCTCTTAAATCTAAGTAAGTTTATTCATACGTCAATAATTGATAATGTAAAAAATGAACTTTCAAAGTGTACCACGGAAGAAGAGAGAGAGAGAGAGAGAAAAAACACTTTTGTTCACTTGTAAATATTAACTCACATCCAACATACAAGCACATATGTCTTAAAATAATTCAAATATAAAATTCGACAAATCATTGACACGCTGTATTTTACTAGTACATAAGTTAAAAATGTTTGACTTTAAAAAAAGATGTCCAGATATAATAGTATTCTGGATCATTGCATGATGATAACATATTGTAGCTCTACTATCTAAAGCGAGCAAGATTTTTTTTCTATCCGTTCCTAATTACAGTAGGATAACAACCACCTCAGGTGCCATGTTTCACAGATCCAGCCATTTTACAATGGTTTACAGGAAGTGCCTAGTACATGATTCAGAGGCAAAAACGTGTGAACGGAAAATTCCCGTCTACGTTAAGGAGAGATGAAAGTGCAACATGACGGCTTCTATGTTTTCATCGATTATTTTTCACATTTATTCTTGTTACTAAATTGAATTATTTTATGAGCTATATAGGTTTTATGTTTTTTAGATGGAATTTGTAGTATTCAGGGTTTTTTAAAGTTAATATAGATATCTTGATACTTTTTAGCAAAATGATGCAGTAAGTATTATGTATTAATATAACCACATTATAAATTCAAAGAGGAAGAATGTTTAAAATGATAAATAGTCATATTTAGAGCTAATAAAGTGGTGTAAATAAACATATTTTTTTCGTTTTTTGTGGATATATCACAACATTTGATCTGAACTATAGTGCATAAGGGACACATTTAAAGTATGCATTGCTGCACGTTGTGACATCCTTAGAGTCACCCAATACAAAATTTGCATTTAGAAAACATTTCTCATCATTTCAAATTAGTTATTTAAAAATATCATCAGTGATAGAATCATTATTGAGTGGAAATACGTGCATTAATACCCCGGATTAGGTAATGGGAAAAAGAGATATTACTGAGTTCAATTATATTCAAACTTTGTCTCTGAAAATCCATAAGTCATTAAATGTAGGAGAAAACCAGTAAGTGTAAAGCTCTGTAAAAAATTCTTTCATGCAATGATAATTGCTTTAACAGTTTCAGTGATATGTATGAAAACTGCACTTTAAGAGATCCATGTTTTTATTGTGATCAGAAAGAAACCATCAATAAACAATAAATCATGAAGTGATAACTAAGACATAGCTGACACAAGTTCTGTGAGGAGTAAAGTACCTGTTTAAGTGATAATCAAATATGAATAATTAACCCTTTTCTCTAAAAACTCACTCTACTGATGACCAATCAAACTTCGCGTCTCTTCGCCAAGTCGGACGACTTCATGAGCAGCTTCTGAAGCCGCGGTCGAGTTAATGGAGTATTACACTTTAATGAAGAGAGTTAATTTGATGACTTTGATCATCTGCTTCTTTATGGTTGTAAACAAAGTCTCATTTCGGATATTGATAAATAAGAAAGATTACAGCAAAATGATCAACCCGACAAAACCATCGAAAACTTTTACAATTAGATAATTATGTAATGATGATATCACTTAGATACAGACATGGAACGAACATTACGCCATGTTTTCATTTGACTGCGATGAAATTTAAAGTCCAAATGAGAAAGCTACCCGTGTTCATGGTGTTGACTAATGATGCAAATGCAATGTGCATTTCCGCCCGAAAGTGCAGCAAGATATGACGAGAAGACTAAAATCCGAAACCTGTTACAAACCAAACGAGAAACAGGAAAACAAAGAGAGAATTGTTTGACTTCAGAGATTTGCAGGCCTTTTGAATAATATACCACCGTCAGTTTTACTACAGCTATATATATACATTTTTTTTCACGTTAAATGTTATCATGGTCATTCATTAGGAAACAGTATTTTTTTCTTTCCATTAAACAATGACTGACTGGATTGCCGACTGTATACATCTTTATAAACACGGGCGAAATAAAAACATGCATTATGACTGAATTATGCATATTTGCGATCTGAGAGAGATCTTGGGTGGTCTCTGAACTGAAGTGAATGAAGTGAAGAGATATACGGTAATGATTTCTACTGTTTTCTTAATAAAGTTTTTATCATTTTTTATATCAAATAATGAACAAATGCACGTTAATGAAACATGAAAAAAAAATTATGGCGAAGTACGGAGGGGTAGAATATTTTTAATTAATGAAAAATGCTAACACTAACTGCTTATAAATTTTTGCATTGAAGATAATTTAAAAATAGAATAATCTTGCTCAACAATATATATATATATATATATATATATATATATATATATATATATATATATATATATATATATATATATATATATATATATATATATATATATATATATATATATATTGGATACAAACAGGGGGAAAATCAAATCTACGCGACAGACAATTGGAGACTGTAGCCGATTAAATAAATTTTAACGTCTCATACAGGACAAAAATTATAAATCATCCTACTAATTAAAACAAATACAGCTAGCTCAGGCTGGAGAAAAGGTCACGGGTTCCAAACATTTACAGCATGTTTAATTTTCCAGACAAAGATTATAGAAATTTTTGTTTCATTTGAAATCGATTTATTTTGCTAATGTGTGATGCAGTATTACAGATTTAAGTTTATAAATTTTTCATGGCTGTAAATTAGAAGATTTAATCATCTAGTTCTTCATTAAAGAAATGTTCTATACATATTCAATGTGATGAAATCGATTACTTGTTGGAAAATAATTTTTCTGGAGAAAAAAATGGATAGATTTCTACAAATATGAAGTCTGCAGAAAAACTTAAAACCATCAGTCATCCTATTTTTTATTATTATCATTTTTTTTTATTTATTTTATTTTATTTTATTTATTTTTTTTTTTTATTTGTCCACGTTATCAAATTTTACATACAGCAAAATCAAAACAAAAAAATAATAAACCTTTCTTTCTTTCACCTTTCTTTAAAAAATATTCTTCGTGATAAGAGATAAATTGCACCAAAATATTTTTCCTTTAAAGAAAAAGTACACTAAATAAAAACAAATTAACCCAGTTTTTTTTCTTAGTCTCGTCAGAAAATCATTTTCATAAAGCACTTCTTCACATTGGCTCTCTGCTGCCGTGGTTTAAGATAACTTGGATCTGCCGGGAAGCGGGTTGTTCCCTCTGAGCAAGGTCGTGTGAATCCTGTCTCGTTTTTATAAAGCAATCAACATTCTAATTCTACATTGCGCGGTTTCCTTGATGGGTTTAGTGAATTGAAGATATATTCGTAAAAAGCATCTTGGTGGGTGACTCAGGAAATTATTTCAATCACGTTGTTGTTGTTTTTTGTTTCTGAAGGGCCTTTTTAGAAAAGTATGCTTCAGAAAATTATATTTTTATTCCCATTTTTACCTGCTCTTTTTCAAAGGCTTAACAATTTGAAAAAAAAAATGAAAAAGTATCTTTTTTTCATATAGAATTTCTTCAGGTATTTTTTGCCTATTTATCTGATATGCTCCATTTCCAAAATGTTTTCGTTTTAACTTCGAAGGTAGCCAAAAATATACATTAGTATAATTGCCTTTTTTCATAATTCCTTGACGGATAACACTTAAAATATTTATTAAAAGGATCAAGTGAGTGATTATTTTAACACTACACAGATTGAAGATGATATCATCCTACTTAACACGAAATAAACCTGTCGTATTAATAATATATTCACCAATAACGGTGCCATTTTTCCCGTTTTGTTTTTCTAAGGTATTTTTTTTTATTTTGAAGATTTAAATGCATAGTACAAATTTTACTTGGATAATGTTTTTTAATTGTCATTATCTATTAATTTTACCATCAATGTGAAACACATATTTAAAATTTTATTGTTGCAACTATATACTTTTGATTTTTAGTCTTGTGTGTGGCCTAATTGGCTTTGGGTGAAAAAAAATTCACTTTTGCTGTCCTTGAGTAAAAAATGATTTAGCAAATTCACCACTCGATTTAGGAACCATTTTCCCATCATCCTATGCTTTTGAACCCCTGATAGCTTTGCATAGCATGTATTGTTATATTGAGTTATGTGTTTTTAATGATGTTCTTCTCATTCCGGATGCAACGTCTTATCGATAGGAGTTAAAAATTTCAAAAAATAGATGAGATTGAAATGTACTCTTCATACAGTAATGTATTTTTAATGATCAAACGCTGTGATGAATTTTAGTCGAGTACAGAAAACTTTGATGGTATCGCCGCCTTTTCATTACAAGTCAATTTAGCTGACAGAGTGTGCTGGTATACCTACCTCTTTGACAGAGGGAAGGATAGGCGGACACAGCTCCGGATTTGTTAAGGTCCAGTGCTGTCGGAACCTCCGGGGCCCTCCAAGAATTATCTAAAACATTCAAACGTTCATGAGCACTACATGTGCATGAAATTGCACAACAGTTTCTTTGAGAGGAAATCTCCTCCCTCGGGGTATCACTATCCCCATGGCTGTTACAGGATTTAAATATCAAACTTTCATATCCTGACTTCATAAGAGACGAATTATCCCCCCTTGGTGACGTACCTTCTGATGACGTTGTACACAGACTGTTGAGCTTCCAGTCATTGTTGCTGTGTTGTTTTGGTGTGTCTGCCTGTAGAGAGTACACAGACCCCGGAGGAAAGTACCCAGAGTGGGGCCAGGATCCATACATATGATAGTTCCTGTCACAATTTGCTCCGTCTGCGTACGATGGAAGGTGCCATCCCCGGAAAGCGTACGGATTCATCGCTGCCATATCCTGGAATATGATGCTTCTTCCTCAAGTCTTTTCATATGCGAGTCACTTCAATCCTGATGTATTAAAAGCCTCTGTTAAAAATTATATAGAGTACATAACCAACACACTTAACCACACAATAACGTGTTCACTGCAGAACGAGGTTTTAATAAGCTTCTGCATTCACAGCCATATAAACAATTTTTTTCAGTAATTATTAGATACAACTTTAACTACGAACGGTATTGGCCGTGTGATAAGGAATAAATGACAGATGAACATAAGTACACCGATTCGCTTCGTTTAGTTTTGTCATACAGCTCATTAAAATAATCCTCAGTGTTCAGTAGAAACGCTATCAATTGATTGGCTAACTCTCGGAGCGGGCGATGGCGTATAAAGTTGACCCCAGCTTGAGGTGAACTCTTCGCTACAATACACAGTCGCTCGCGCATGAAAATATTCCACTGTATGAAATAAGACGACTCGCTGTTATTATTCTAGACTTTTGTTTCTCTCTAATTTATCAAATTCTGATTTATACCTGCGTGGTTAGAGGACCACCTACAAGACTCGATCAAACCTGCCGCGCAGTGCCTAAAAAAATCAAAACAGTAGAGCTTCTAAGGATATGGGTCATTACAAAGTTTTATTTTCCCCGTCATTTTATGAAGGGCCTGTCCGCAGTAATGACCATTAACATAGACACTTCAGCACCACAAAAGCAGGAAGCTGGATTTATTAAGCCCGACATAAAAATATATGAAAAAAAAAATATTGTCTATTTCTTCAAAGGTATAGATCTTTGCCACATGAACAAGAAATTTCATTCCTTTTTGTTCTGTGTAAATTTTGGGGAAAATAACGACTGTTCTTCGAATAAATATTTGCCGATCTGTTTTTCTTATTGAAGTCTGCGTTATTATGAGGGCAATAAAGATTATTTATTATCAGAATCTATGCAGGTAGCCCAATAGATATTATAACTATCAATACACATATTAAAGATTTTATTTAACAGATAGCATTCCAGATGCGGGTAATGATATCTGAGGGGGAAAAATTCTACAGATTAAATAAGAAAAAATATTATATTAATAATAAGCATGTTTTTTAAAAGCATTAATTGTCTCTGTGTTGTATTTTGGCGTTTCCCGAAACATAAGGAGTACATTGTTGTAAAATCCATAAATAAATAAAAACAATCTTTGATAAATGATAGTGAAAAAGGAGGTAATTATAAAGAAAGAAAACAATTTTGATAATTGGGATTAACTGTCATTCTTCTTACAAATGAGTGTTGTGAATTAGAATGGGTGGATCCCTATAAAAAATTTTTATAACATTAAACCAACTTTTTAATGATGTGGACAAAGAGGAACTTGATAAAAGAGATGATACGGGAAAACGTCGTTAAATTATCATTATTTCCTTTTTTTATTTTTTTCAGGCCTGCATGAATTGAAACAAATTAAAATGCAAACAATCAAACTTCTTAAAACCAATTTCAAGTTTTTACTTTTTTTTCTCAGGAAAATTCTACATGTAGTTCAAACAGATTTTTTTTTTACATTAATTCCACTAGTTTCTTTTTTTCCCCAGACAATTCTTTAATTTCACTTTTTTGACACTAAATTTTAAAGTTTGATAAAACTGCTTAAAATAGTGATTTACGCATTTCATTTTAGACAATCATGTAAAGAAAAAAAATTATTTTATCTCATACAAGTGAATTGTTTGTTTGTGTTTTTTTTAATAAAAATCTGTCGAATTATAAAAAAATGAATTATATATTCGTTCACTGTTAAAAATACTCGTTGATAAGACAATATTGAAAAATAATTTTCCCCCACTAAAATCAAATTCGATTGGAACTTTTTCCAGTTTTTATACTGATACAAACATCAATATGATTCATAAACAAAAAAAATGTACTTAATTAATTTTTATAATTTTAAACGTTTGAACAAAAATAATTTTACAATGGACCTTTTAAACTTTCAATATGCTAACTTATGCCTGTTGTTTGAAACTTTAATACTTGTTACAAACTTTTATTTTTGCTAAAATAATAAAAATAGATTTTTAAAAATGGAAAAAAATGTATGTGTATCTTTTTAAAAGATTTTTCAATAATGTCCCATAAAGTGATAACAAAAATGTATAAATCTATAAGAGAAATCACAAAGAGTGAGAATTTTGAACATCATAGAAAATCTTCTATTTCTTATAAATTTAGGAATTTGCTGTTTGCATCAATAACAACCAAAACGAGTCCAAACTATGCATCAATTTTTTGTTTGTATCAAGTGACTTTAGATAGAATATCAAATCTAAGTTTATTAATAGAAGAGTTAGTAAATGGAATACTATATTTAATTAGTATCTGCGGGCTAAAATACAACTTTCCCAATTTCAAACAATTTAAACTCATTCGCATTTCTAACTCAGATTGTTCATTTAAATAAAACATCGTGCATTGTCAAACATAATCTTGGATAGAATAATCTGGGTCTAAATAGCTGTTAGAAATGAAATATGCCATGATCAACAAAAATATAATTTAAAACATACACAAGAATCTCTACTTACCAGCTTCCAGCACTGTTTACATAACATTAACAGAAGGGGGCGGGCTAATACTAGCGTAGTTGCTGAACTCATGAATATTTAAATAGGAAAAGGAAGATAACTCGTGTTAATGAATATCTTCACATTTTTTCTAAGTAGTATCTAATCATGGCATTACGTACGATGCTTCTTTAAAACATAACGGCAATAAATGTCAGAAAAATAATTATTTGTGTTCTATCTTTCACAGCCACCCTCTAGATTTAGAATTAGTACCAAAGTTAACACAATAGAGGTTGTTAAACCGTAACCAAAGTCATATCTGCTTAATTTGTGAAACTAATTAGGAAGGTCAGTATATCTCTGATAATATTGATGTGTTAATTGCATTACCGGTTTATTTATGCAAAAAGCGTGAAGAGTTTTAATCGTTGATTTCATTTTTATTTGATACACGGATGAATACAAATCAGTATTAATGCTTTTTTTAAACAATTTTAAAAAAAATGCCCAACAGTTTAAATGATTTTCTACATAAAAATATAGTTCATAGGCTCTTAGTCATTGTGTTAGTGTAACATAAAAAATTCAAAATGGTAAAGTAACCTTTGCATAAGCGCATATATTTATGTAAAACTTTAAGCACGCCGTGTGGGCGGGCATGAAATTAAAAATTAAAAAAAATATATTATTATATTTAATATTTAAACCTTGATAATTAAAATTATTCAGACCACAAAGAAACCGCGTTTCCTCGTGTCAATGACCTGAAAAACTCTATTATCATGCACGCATGTATTTGATTCAGATTATTTTTAGAATGCGCTATTCTGAAAATCAAAGGAAAAAACCCCAGATAACTTGGTATCATAATATCATCTGCCACTGTTTGCATTTATCTTATTATTTTTCATAAATTGCCATTTGTGTATAGCTTCAACAAAGGAAGTATTTAATGAAATACAATGTAGAATATAGTAATGCATAGTAATATAAATAGTAAGATAAAAATAATTTCATGAGGCTGATTGTCTAATAAATGTAATCCTGTAAGACAGTTAGACTGAATCCAACAAATACAGTACACAGCAACTTAACAGGTTAAGGTTGCACATGAGCAAAACATATGACAATTATTTAAAACTGGACGTAGTTCGCAATAATAGGTTGCAATGAACTGTGGAACAAAATGAGGGTAAATTTATTTTTATTTCATAATAATTTTTTTTTTAAAAAAATCATCAAAACTTTCATTATTTAGAATTTTAAAATGCAGATTATCTCGATGAGAGCATACAGTTCAGGAGGAAAGCATGTATCACCGTCCAGTCAGGAGTCATAATTTTGATCATCTAACTTGATCACTTCATATTTTTAATAATTCCGTGGAATTATTTGTTTGAAAGCAAACATTAGTCTTAACATTAACCTGAATGAACATGTTTCTTATTTAACACAGATCCTTCTATATCTGGTGCCGAAATCGGGACTTTCTACACATGAGATAGCCTCAGAACTGTAGCTCTCTGGGAAAGAAAAATCGGACAAACATACCAGCAAGCATGCTATCGAAAGTGTCATAATAACAGTCAAAAGATATGACTTTAGAGACACTTTGGATGGCCCTAAGACAGTTCTTAAGATAGACATAAAAAGTTCTCTTAAGAATGTCCTAACTAGGATAGACTTAGGAGAGTCCTAAGATAATTCTTTTAAAAATATTATAACATTATAGACTTTGTTTATATAACAAAGAAAAAAAATGATAATAGACTTTAAATTTCTTTGACAACTTTTAAAATTGAATTAGAAATATAACAAATGTCTGATTGTAAAAATATCCTTCCTTATTTAATAAATAGTTAAATCTCTCTCTCTCTCTCTCTCTCTCTCTCTCTCTCTCTCTCTCTCTCTCTCTCTTCTACGTAGATGAAAACATTATGCTTATTCCAAAAAAAAGGTTTAGTAGAAATAGCATTTTAAATTATACTTGCCATGCTAATTAGATAAATTAATTTTATATAATTAACAACTTGCCAATATACAGCTATTTCTTTTACTTAGCTATAGAAAATAATTTAGAGGACAGTATGAAGGTTACTTCTACATGTACTACATCGCTATGAACTAGCAATTCAGTCTCCCTCCATTCCTTGCAGGTTCAGCCGTGTACAGAGAGCATCAATAGCCCTCGGATGAGTAACTGATTCACGTTACAGTATCCCGCGAAAAACTCTCGTGCTGGTAAGCGCTATTACCCCCATTCACTCATAGATTTCCAATGAATAATAACCCATTAAAGTTTTAGACTTCAACGTATAGTGAGGAGAGAAAATATGCCAACTTCTCCAAAATGTAACTTCAAGTTCTTCTGGACGAAATGGAGAAGTTTTTAGCAAATTCACTAAATGTGTGACCAATAATTCCAATATTTAATCAATTCAATTTTTTTTACTTAGAATAAACGCTCTTTAGATGATATATTACAATCGTGCAATAATATACATGTTTACATAGGAAATGAACGGTTGCACCAAGATAAGAACCTCTTAAGTGTGTCTTAGGACGAGTCTTACGATGTCTTAATTTTAGAAAAAATCTAAAAATACATCTTAAGTTATAAGTTACCACAGATTCGATGGCCTCACTTAGGGTTAAGGTACAGTGTATCTCTTTAAGATATTACAATCTAAATTTAATTAATTTTATCTATAACTATCAATATCCCACTGTGGGACGTGGAGGCTGGTATTTTGGATGAGACCGTATAAACCGAGGTCCAGTGTCGCAGTAGGTGCTGGCACGAAAAAGATCCCTCACTG